CAACCCCCAACCTGGAGGGCCAGGAGACTGTGTTCGTCAGACCTCTAACCATTGACCAACCTGGTATGAGAGACTCTGTGAGTGTCGCGGGACACTCTCCAGTATAGCTCAATGGATCGCTGAGGTGCGCAAACCGTCACACCACGGTAAGGTTCAGTCTCTTCGTTACGGTAGATCAGGGCAACGATGCTAAGTGTACTGGAAGATTCAAACTCACTGACGACAACACCAGTGCATCAAGTACCTTCTAGGGACAGATCTCATCTGTGAGCAAACTGATGCGTAATCTCGGGGAACGAACGTTCGACGCAAACTGGAGTTACGCACAGTACTCGACATCTGTCCTATTCTGGAGAGGCAAACTCAATGTTGGGAGCACTTTGAACAAAGTGGTTGCTTCGTTGGTGTCTCCGCAAACGTCTAGAGACAACTTACTATAAACGAAAGGTTGTTGAGTTACAGTATGCTGGTGGGCGGATCGCTGCTTGCAAAAGTGGGATCCATTCTTGTGGGTAATCAATCCATGTACGGGGGAACAGAATCTATAACCTACCAATGTGCCAAGACAAACTATTCTAGTGGTTTTTAACATGCGAATTACGATTGCAACTAGTTGTTTGACTGCGGTGTGAACCCTAAGTCTGATAGGCTGGTTTAGTTCAGTGGTCTAGTCGACTTTACAATGCTCCGCTCAAACAGCACGCAGTATATAAACCTAATTATGTCCAACTTACACGTTTGTTTTGGCTAGCAAAGCAACCAGGCTACCCATCCATATAGAGCTTACCAGTTTTACAAGATTACTGCTGCGAACACTATGCTCGTAACTCAATCCATCGGCTTTACAGCGTAAGCTGACGACTTCCAAAGCCGAATGTCTTTTGCATTGCCTCTGGGTAACACGTGAAAAATAGCTCCAATTTTTCTCCATCATTATTAAAACAACATTTAATTTTCAGCACAACACCCAATTAAAAATACTCTGAGGCCAAAGGTCTTGTGATTCGATTTATCGAGCTGTGAATACCCCATTCTAACAGAATCCTCTAGCAATCGAGCGAGAAACGTTTTACGTTTACAATGTAACACTCAAGCACAAACCTAAACAACCAGTGACGTCAATATTATTTCGTATGTCAGATTAAACACATGGTGAGCGGTAGCAAGTTTGCACTTGAATGCAATTAATTACCTGTCCAATTTGTACAGCGTATTTATTGATGGCTTGCCAACGAAACTGTGTATTTAGCTGGAAAAACTAAGGTTGAAGGTTTTCCTGAGGCAGAACAGAGCAATCGGAAGGCTGAGAATGCATCCATTGCTGGCCACGATCAACTATATTGCTGTACTTACTTTTTTCTTAGTGACCATGCTCTTCAAAAGTGAACGATAATACTGGAGGCGGTTGTGCTCATGCAAGAAAATACATCTTCCAATAACTAGAGGGAAAAGAAGTCAATCAATGGCTTCTCAATTCGGAGAAAAACGCAAGCGATCTGGCATATATCACTATCTTTCCCAGAAAGTTGACGGTTCGTTCTAATAGTGACTGGCTGAAGGTATGGTTGTCATAATCCTGTAAGATTCTCTATGTTTCAGGCGAACCCTTGTTTAATCGAAACCACCGAATTAGAGTCTAAGTGCTCCTGATTTTCCTTCCTCGTAAATAGGGTCACTGGGCTCGACTACTGACCATACCACACAGAAGACGCAGGTGAAAAATAAAAGCTTCTTGTTCGACCAATTATGATACGTCAAGCTGCTGTGAAAACATGCAAATATATGGTTCCCTCTAAGCCTTACTGGCTCCTCTCTAAGCATGAAGCATGTTGTTAGCTGTCGCGCAGTGAAGCATGTGTGGGAATTGAATACGGACAGGCACTCACATGTATCTCCCGTTCTATGCGGATCTTTATTCTCCGTCGAGCGTTAATTTCATCCGAAACATCACTGACACTGATAGACTTTTCGATTGGAGATGTATTCGTGTCGGAGCCTGGAGAATGGATATCCAACTCGTTCGCCAACGAACCAATTAAACTAGTTTCTGGCTGATTGTAAATTCGGATATCTGGTTGTGAAGCAGAGTGTGGCACCGAATCATTGGTGGCGGAGTGAAGAGGCTTTGTATCCGGAGAGGCGTAATTCAAGTAGGTAAGGTCATGTGTATATAGACCAAGATACGGAATCAAGCCAGGCACGTTTAGATTCTGTAAGGTTTTGGAGAATAATAACAGAGAAAAATAACACATCCACAGAACGATGAAGTAAAGCGAAGTAAAGCAAACGACTGTTTTCCCAATTTTCTTCAATTTCCCGTAAAAACAAAATGCGCATGAATGACTGACGTCATGCAATGTCCCATAAACTCATGGAATCAACTCGAAGTAACAGGAAATTTAAACCCGGTGGGTTGAAATATCAAAAGAGCCATATTGTATGTCTTTTTAAATAACATTAGTTCACACTATTTCAGCTAATATAATAACATTTTATAACACTTCTATATTGCCAATTTGTTCAGTTTGTGAAGTCAAATTTACCTCTTCAGCGGTCCTGCTTTCATGCCTCCAGGGTAGGGATTTCTTCGACGTTTATTTAGCGTGTCCCATTCTCACTGGTAGATCCAACCCCTCAGTAACTTCTTTTAAAGTAGCGGGAATTTCGTACTAGACACCCAGTTGGGTATTCACTACCGCATCCTAATCATTGAATCCGTTAGGCCAACATATCGATAGTGTTGTCCATAGACATCCTGACCAAACAATGAAGATTTCACAGGCTGTATGTTCGGGTACTGATTCAATCAGACAATGTATGTTCGTAGCACCATGACATTTGGTCATTGCTTCTCAATAATCAATCGCGATGTCAGGCAAAAACTAATGTACCAGTCGATCTTCGTTGCTTAATGGAATCGTCTCATTTGTGTATACAGCCATATTCGTTAGCGCATTAGTGATTGTTGCAAGTATGATCGGCACATTCGATTGATGACGTCAGCTGACCACAACGGAATGTTATCTGCTTATCACAAAGCGTACTGTTAGGTCTATTAGGGAAGAGCTACACGATCCAAACGGCATGATCAAACGAATAATTGGGAATTGGCCGATCATTTATTCACGTTCCTGGTTAGATTACAATACGACAAAACTGAGGTGAACACCAAAACACGCAGCGAAGGCGGAATTACGGGTGACTAATCGAAAAGCCTTGTGAACAGTTTCAATATTATCCAAAACATATCGTTGCCATTCTTAAACAAACGGAGAGCATTGATAACATCTAATTAGCTACCTATGGTTACGTAACACACTGATTTTGAGGGCGATGCAAAAGAAATTTCGCTTTGGAAACATCAGCTCACGCTGAAAAACCGAACGATGGAGTTAGGGGCATGGGGTTTGAAGGAGCAATCTTGTAAAACTGCAAAGCTATAGATGGATAGCCTGATCGCTTTATAGAAACATGAAAGTTGAACGAAACTAGGCTTAGGCTCTGCTTGCTTTGCGGGCAGAGCTTTCAGTTCAAATTTAACATGTACAAATTTGGCACGGTTTCCAAATAAACAGCATCAACCTGACATCCGCTAGAGCACAAGTTCAGCCACCAAAATTAAAACAGGAATAAAAAAATAAGAATGACGGGAGGAACAGGAAGAGCTGAGTGTTGTTATATAACTGCTAGGAGCAGATAAGTTGTTTACCTCATCCGTAACATCAAATGGAAGAATGATTGGAAATGGCAAATCGATATATTTCTTCAGTGCCTGTCATGCTTTAAGGGTCCTAATTAACTGTGAAAATCAGTGAATAAAATTGTACGTAGGAACCCACTCAAACCTACTACCAGTCTAGGGATCCGCAAGCTAAGGGTCGTCCGGTAAAAGGAAGGGACATTCCGACAAGTGCTCTCATTTTGGTTTCGACAGAGAGATTCAGTTGAACCCAACTGAATTTCTCATGATGGTTCGCCTCAAATGAATGTGCTGCACCATGTTTCGCTTGAGACTATATTTGAGACATCGCAACATCTTGTCGTCTAGACGTGACAGGCTACTCATAAGGTTGCTGAAAACTCTGACCATCCACGACCGGTTCCAACCTTCTTGAGACTCATCAGGTAGGTGCAGTCCTCGAGTTTTCACAAGGTCCACTTGAATCCAAATAGGAAAGAGTTCGACAACTACTCTCATTTGCAAAAAAATGTTTTTTTTGACAGAAGACTCAACTGAATTCAGCTGAATCTCTCGTTCATGCCACTTTGGATATCGGTCCACCTCAACCACGATGCAGCCTTCCAGTCGTAGGTAAAAACCCTTTTGTAAACTGGACAGGAGACTGGTTGAAAACGGTGGGTACACTGGAGTGGATGGTTCTTCGATGATCCAATTTTTTCTTGTTTTCACAGGATAATGATGGAGCCAGTGACGTCGGGAAAATTTTTCTCTAGTACCTGTACAAGATTCATGACGAAATGTATCAACAGAAGTCGCATCCAATGAGCTATTGCGAAAACAGGCAGGCAGCAGAATAGTTTTGATGTGTTTCAATGAAGTGGAGGGCCGGTATTGCCTGATGTAACTTTGGAAATGTCTTCAGCCCGATTGAATTTTAAGGAAACCGTTTTGCTGTACAAGTACGGTTGTTTACGGCGAGTGGCGAGGAGACTGCCCACAAACAATCACTCCAGAGAAGTAGACGCAGTACAAGGACTTGTACCCGACTTGTAACGGTGAATGTATTTCATTAAAATTCACGCCAATTTTAAAGCAGTAGATGTGTAGCCAAATGTGTGTGTGTGTGTGGGGGGGTGTGCTCTACCAGTCCAGAAGTATCGGGATTTCGTCTACACTGATCACAAATGGAACTAGACAGCATAGACCAAAACAGAGCTAGTCATTGTAAAGAGACACGCTACGGGAGGATTATACGACATATTTGACCGAAAATCACCAAAAGCGAAAGATTCGTTCGAAGGTCACTTGAGTCACATGTTAACCTCAAACTAGTGTGCAAAGTGTGCAAGGCAGATAAACCCGTTCCGAATTCGCGGCGCTATAGGGAAGTTTGATTGAAATAACCTTGTAACTAGATCCCTCCTATTTCTGAGAGCGTAGTTTTACAGGCGAGACGGCCGAAGTGGTTAGAGCGCGAAATTACTGATCGGAAGGTCCGTGGTTCGAACCCGCCCTCTGCCTCTCGACTTCCCCTGTCTAGGCTTGGGCAACCTGGCGGTATCCCAGCCCTCGTGCAACCTTCGGGTGGCATGGCAATTAGGCACCGGAAGGGTGCTACAGCTGAACGATTTTTTTACAGGCTTTAGTCACGAGGTCAATAGTGGACAATGATTACTTCGAGCACTGAAGTCGCTCAGCTGTCTAACTTCAAGAACTCGCCTTTAGGCCTCATCTGTCTAAAGGTACTCCTGTGTATTATGCTACCTTACAGTACTCGGTCAAATGTAGTGGAGATATCGTCGAAGAAACAAAATCAATAAAACTGGCGAACTGAATAAACATAAACGACGCCGTTTGACAGTTGATCATCCATTATCAGATCTACTCAGAGCATATTTTCATAAAGGAACCTCGGATTTGAGTTAGAAAAAGAAAAAAATAGCCCCTCTTGGGAGCTCACGAGTTGTCACCAAATTTCAATCAGTATTCTATCTTAGCCGGGAACTAGTTTGAACTAGTTTGTTGTATCTGTAAATAATTTGCACACCCAACCAGTGAGAACGATATTACTTCATACTCTGTACCTCATCCACATATCTGAAATAATGGTTGGAGGATGATCCCGCCGGTGTATAGTACAAAAGGATTCAATTAAACATAAGTATGAAAGCAGAAACCGTTGAAGTTACCCACGCAAATGAGTTTCTCTCGTGCAGCGAAAAAAGTATCGATTCGAGGTCATTTCACTTGCATTGGTTATTTGGTAAAAAGCCCAATTGGTTTGCATAGACAGTAGTGGTTTTGTTACATGAATTCGCAGACATTAATCCATAACTGTTGTTTATTATCTAGGAGCAGAATACACAAACTGACTGACCGAAGAAAACTTTTTATTTGGTTTTGTAGCCAATCGTCGTGGTGAGAGTGGTGCGGGAAAGGATAGAGTGACTCTGGGTCGTGCTGCAACACATTCCGGCTGAGATTGTTGCTGAGCAAACAGTGAATGCCTTTCACAAGTAACACCATTCACCTGTTCCTTCTCCAAAGTATGCTCAAGCTGAATGCATCCATGAAAAGAAACAAAGACAAAATGGGTTATGCATGAACGAGACACACGGCGGTGATGTGGCGTGCACAACCAGGGGTGGGAAAAAAGGCAACTGAAGCAAAAGGGTGTTATTCCCAGTGACGTGAATTTCTGTGCAGAAGACCTGCTGCGTGTTGGTACAACCCACTATGATTACTAACCTATCTTCAAGGGACGGTTTCCCCTCTCCGGAGGGGCTACAGCATAGTGAAAACATTGGGGTGCTCGACTCGGCAGTATGTACTACATTTCTTGTACAAGCAAGGAGACCGCTGGCATAAGCAGGATATATAGTCATTCCTTCATAAACACGTGGAAAAATGGACTGTCCCCGGAGGTCGTTACATGGGCTAGATACGTTTTCTTATGACCTGAGCATTTGCCTTGCTTGGTTTCGCGCACTATTAAGTCTATGATGGTTCGTTTAGTTATTCTGGTGAGATTACAAATTATATTCCAACTTGACATGCAGCTGCATTCCTCCGTTATAAGCACCGTATACGCTGTACCACAGTGATCACGTATTCAAACCTTTTTGTAACCATAAGATAGCAGTATATGCCAAAAGCGATAATTTGGACATCTATACTGGTATACCAACGAAGAGCAAGGCAACTTGACTGTGAAACCACCGAGATACTGAGCGACAGTTACCCTCCCTTTTAGAAGAATGGGTAGTGACATACGGTTATGACGGCTGACTGCTTCCGCGAGTTACACATGGGGCCGAGAAACGCCCGTTTTCAAGACTGGTTACTAGGCGCACAGTGGGGCTATCATGTCTTTTATGGAGCTTCCCGGTGTTCAAATGCACAAATTCAACTAACGGCTGAAGCATTTGCACTTTCAATTTGGCACCTGACAGCCCACCATACGCTCCCATTTCCAACTGGTTAGTTCTTAACACAGTGCCGAGCCATCTGTTTCTTATCGTAATTGGT